CGTGTATTTCATCAGACTATGATTTTAGCTTTAATGTTTAGTGCGAGGCAACATTATATGTGTTATAAATTGTTGTGATTTGTTCTTACTTGTGTATAAATAGTATGTGGATGTTTTGCTTTTTATCCAGTAACTATTAATGACTCATTTTCATTAAAACCAGATAACTAAGTGACGGTCACTTTACACAATCTGATTGTTGCTGCTAGCTGAAAATTCTTAAGAGCTTTCTGTGCAGCTCTATTGAGCTTTCTTTGCAGAAACACACTGTTGAAAATTCTCCCTGTCAAAATGAGTAGCCCAGTTTTAATGTATTGCAATGTTTATATTGTGTTGAAGCATATTTAGTGATTCTGTGTTGGCATTTCCCCGTGCAGTCCAATTTCCAGGATTGAGGTAATGTCTTCATTTTCATTTGGCTTCAGGATAAAAGTAAATTTCAAGGTATCTCAATTCAACGTGGAACAGAAGTCTTATTTTCTGAGCAGATAATTGTAAAGAGAACTTACATCTTTTCCATCTGTTATTCATATACATATTCTTAGATAGATACAGATACTATCTAAAAATCAAACATGCCGTTGGTAAACCGAACGCATACTTGTTGCTCTAAAAGAGGACCCTAATACTCATGTGCAGCTTGAATAAAAGTGCCTTAAAGATCTTTCAGTTAAAGCTATCAAAGAAACAACCTAACTGTCCAGGTTTCCGTCAAATGCGCACATTTAACTTTTAGTAAGTCATTGGAAATTATACCCTCTGAAGGACAAGCTTTTGTCCTGTATATAAGCACTGGGATTTCTTCTAAGTTTCTGAACAAAAATTAACTAAATCTACCTTAGTGTTGTAAACAGCAGCACTTAAAAATTGTAGCTGTTTAGTACATATTGTGTTCATTACAGCATGATATGTTTAAAATACTTTGAGCATGGGCTTTGGGTTTGAATGAGAGTGGGATTTAATACAAAGGAAAGATAGCTATGCTGCTTAGAGAAAATACCACAGAAGACTAAGCTCGTTCAATCTTAATTATTTTAATAACTAAGCTACAGAGTGGACATGCAGTGTTGTACTGGCGGGGGGGTACTTTTAGAATCAGAATTCTCTTTGTGTGGCATCCATCGCTGCTTCTGTATAAGCTGTCTTTTAATCATTAAAGACGACTGTAGATCAGGTGTAATGCGTGGTGCTGTGTTGTCAAGAAAATGGACGTTTAATTAATTCCCTGTTAGCTTTCACTTTTGGGGTGAATTCAGGAATGTTAGAAAGTTTCAGTCATGGGTTTGGCTTGTCATATGAGTTTCCAGGTGGCCTGAAATCACCTTAGCCAGTTCTGTGTTCTGGGTTTATGAAGTGTTAGTTCTTTCTTATTGTTTTTGGGGGTTGGGGTTTTTTTTGTTTTTCCTAGATTTATAATGCCCACAAGGCTGCATTAATTTTTGTCCAGTGGTTAAAGCAGCAAAAAGCCAATGGCATACAGCCATCTCTCATCTGTCCTTTTCACAAACATGTCTGCTAGAATCATGAATTAGGCTTTCTGCCAAATACCAAATATATGGATTAGTAGTGTCACTAAAGGGAAAGCAGGGCATCTTTTTTAACTTAAAATGTTAAATATTGCTATTTTTTACAGCACCAAATCAAATGAAAGCCAAGGAAGGGAGAAACCTATACAGTTCTTCTCGTTACGATGACTATGACAGATATAGGCGATCTAGAAGTCGGAGTTACGAAAGGAGACGGTCTAGAAGTCGTTCTTTTGATTACAGCTATAGAAGATCGTATAGTCCCAGAAAGTAAGTGTAGCATGTGTTTGCCTTCAACTGCACAGCAGTCTGTTGGAGGAGAAACTCCACATTGACTACTTAATTGTTAAAATTTTGAATAATCTTTTCCTATACTTACTTTGTAATTACTTGTGGGAGTTAAATATCTTGCATGCTACATCAAATCAGAAGTATTGAATGAAATGTTTCTGTGCTTCATTGAAGAATAGCTAAAAGCAGATGCACAGCTTGAAAAATAATTTATTAAGCATTTGTATACATACATAGGTATTTGTCACCGTTTACTTTTTCTGATGTACCTTTTTAGCAGTAGACCTACTGGAAGACCTCGTCGTAGCAGAAGCCATTCGGACAATGATAGGTAAAATACTTTTTACACTCTTTAAATTGAAAACTAGATCACTGTATTCCTTTAACTATAGGTTTAAAAAAAAGTTTCTCCTGCAAAAAACGGTAAACAATTTTTAATGTACTAGATGTGTAAGAATAGTGTTTTTACATTCAAATCTCCTCTCTCCCCTTTATTCTGATAGGTTCAAACACCGCAATCGATCTTTTTCAAGATCTAAGTCCAATTCAAGATCACGATCCAAGTCACAGCCCAAGAAAGAAATGAAGGCTAAATCACGGTCTAGGTCTGCATCTCACACCAAATCTAGAGGCACCTCTAAAACAGATTCTAAAACACACTATAAGTCCAGCTCAAGATATGAAAAGGAGTCGAGAAAAAAAGAACCAGCTAGATCCAAATCACAGTCAAGATCACATTCTAGATCTAGGTCAAAATCCAGATCAAGGTCATGGACTAGTCCCAAGTCCAGTGGCCACTAACAGTGTATCCATGTTGGTTTTAGGCATGTAAGATTCATTTACACACAGTTCAGTTTACTTAAATTATCAGGAATATGATGTTGCAACAGTGCTAAAAAATATTTTCTTTGTCAGTTTTCCCTGTAGCCGACAATGGTTAAAATTAAAACAGTGTTGAGAGGCCACTGAGAGAGAGCGAGGAGAGAGAGAGAGAGAGAGAGAGAGAATGTCCACTTGGTTAAATGTCATGGGCAGCTACTGATTTGGTTGTGGTGTCTCTATGTATATTTTTGTAAAGATTTGCATTTTTAATGCTTAGATATTGGTGATGACTTGATTGATCGTAACTTGCAACATTGTCCTATTAAAAATGTCATACCTGTAGAGAAATTGGTACCAGTTTGTGCTGAACAGTTAAACCAACTGTTTAACTTGTTCTTTAATGCTAAACTTTGTGAGAGAACAGAAAACTGGACAGCTGTAGTGCAACACTGACTGCTGTGAAATGCAGACTGGCAATTTTATGTTTCCATTGTTCAAAGGCAGGTTTCTGTGTTCTCCATGCCCACTGACGCAAGTAGGCTGGTAAATGGAGCTCTATGGAGAGATATTTTTGAGATTTCTCTTTAACCCTGCCATCTGGAGAGATGGTACTAACATTGCACGTACTACATGGGGAGAGAAGAGTTGGTCTTGGAAGCTCGTTCAGAGATTGTGCAGTGTCGTGATTTGTCAGGATAGAGGCTTCACTGCTTTTGACCTGGCTGCTAGTACTAAATGTGTGAGGAAAAAAAAAACCACCTTGAAATGGAAGATTAAATTCAGATTTCAGTAAATGGCAGAGCAACTAAATATTAGGTTGTGTGTACATTTTATGCAGTTTTTGTATCTATTCTAAATTTTAGTGAGCAGTTAACCATAAAATTGCTTAGTTTTCCTGCTGTTAGATACAAGTAGATTGTTTCGAGTTGTGTGTGTACAGTATATAAGAACTAAACTTTTATGCCAATGACTCCTGTGGTTAGTTGGTGTATTTCATAGGTATAAAACTGTAGCCATCTCTCTTCCTGAGTAACAAAGGCTTGCTTTTACACATCAAAAAGTATTTGGTCAAGCAAGTCTGAATCACTTCTTCCTCAGAATGGATAGCGGTTTGGTTACAAGATTTCATTTTACTTAAGAACAAATGTTTGAAGTTGGATATGAACAAGAGCTGCATCTCTAGCTATTTAGTTTTTCACTAATACAGTATATTTAGTAAATTGAATGTGAAAAGTAACAAAACCAGTGTGTAATCTTACCAGTATTTCTCTAGAAGGCAAGATACTTTGTAATGAAAATGGCTTTTGGCGTTGTTTTTTTTCTATTTACCTTCAAAAGCCAGCATCAAACACCTGGTGTTCCTTGCTGTCTTATGTAGTAGCATATGAAGACATTGATTTCAAAAAGTTCCTTTTTAGAGAAATGTTTTAGGTTTGGGTTTTAGTGTTTTCAGCAGGGCCTTTGAAGAAACGCAGATGGCTTTTAAATATTGGCCATGGAACGTGCTTAGGGGGTTGATTCTAGAATCTTTGTACATTTGATAGTATTTCTAACTTTTTCTTTACTGTTTGCAGTTAATGTTCATGTTCTGCTATGCAATCATTTATATGCACGTTCCTTTAATTTTGTAGACTTTCCTGGATGTATAGTTTAAAAACAGCAAAAAGTCTATTTAAAACTGTAGCAGTAGTGTGCAGCTCTAGCAGAGGAAAGTTGTGGGATTAAACTTTGTATTTCCTTTCTTATAGAGGCTTCTAAAAAGGTATTTTTATATGTTCTTTTTAACAAATATTGTGTACTACCTTTAAAACATCAATGTTTTGATCAAAATAACTAAAGACCCAGCTTATTTTCTGCTTGCTGTAAATTTAGCAAACATGCTGTAATAAAAAAATGAAGGAAATACTGATCCACTGGAATTATTGTAGCTTTAGAATTTGACTCCAGAGCATGGTTAGGAGTAGAGCTATGCATCCCTTATGGAGTAAAATCCTTACTATGGTATTTCAGTAAAGTCAGGAATTTATCATTCAATGTCTGAATAAATATCATTTCACATTTTTAAAGGGGTACTAGACAAAATAAGAATGATAAGTATATGTTTTAGTCTAATGTATTGAAATTTCTTTTCCGTTAACTTTCATGATGGCTGGATGGATTGCCCTGTGGTTATAGTTCAGATGTTAATAGCCAGGTTATGAACTACTTCAAATCAGCAACTGAAGATTCATAGAGAACCAAATTTCTAGGATCACCTTAGCGATTTATATTTGCCCTATGAAAAATTGTGCCAGCAGTGGTTCTCCAGAAGGTGGTAGAACTTTGCTGATGACTTTTAAAATTTGAGCTGCCTCCTGGCACCTGTGGTATTTACAACTGGTTCTTCTTAAGGCCACTGAATGAAAACAACTTGGAAAAGCACTTAATTGCTTTGATAAACCCACTCTTACACTTCTTAAGCTGAGCTGTGATTCTCTCGTAGCTGTCCATAAAAATGGCTTGTAACAGCAGGAAACCCCACCCTTTTTCAGCTTTCTTAAACGAATACAGTCTTTGAGACTAAAATCCTGCTTAAAAGCAGTCCACCTGACTGTGTCGTGGGAAAGCGTGGTGATGTTTTTGTCAGCAGCCTGCAAGGGATCGCTGTAGTTGATGTTCACGTCAGTCCAGCCAGAATTACAGCTGGATCGGTGGGGAGGAGGGAGGAGAACATCTTTGTGTCCAGGCTGAGGTTCTAATTTGAGACTGCAGAGTAACAGTAACGATACCTTAACTATTTTGTCAGCATGTCCTTATATTGTGTGCCTCAACATTTATGTATAGCACAGTTTAAATTTTTTTTTTTGTTTTTGAAAATCCAGTTCATTGCAAGTATAATGTAGTATCTGACAGTTCTGATGGTTCTTTCTTTCTCTCCCAGAGGTAGGACTAAACTTTGACTTGACTTGTGTATATGAACAAGCCAGAAAAGCCGAACACAAACCCACGATGTTTCAAGAGTGCATGAATAAAGATGTTGTCCTAGTTCTTGCTCCCATGGAAAAATTGTGAAGAAGCTGTTCTGTGGGCCTTTCAGTTGGGGACGAGTTAGCAGGATGTGGCCAAAAGGGCAGGGAATGTTTACGCATTCATGCAAGTCAAGCCACAGCCCATCTAGATAACATCTCCCTTCCTTGATGCAGGTATCCTAGTCCTGCTCTAAAAAAAGCAGTAGCCTGTCTTGTGCAAGCTACCTGCAGGTTATGCACAGCTGGAATGCAAGAACATACGCAGGCTACAAAAGATCATGTATAGGCATCTTTCTTTTGGAGTCTCAAGAACGGTGGGAATTATGTTTTTCTGTGGTAAACTAGATTTTGTCATTCCTGCAAAATTTGTAGAATCGAAGTAGTGTGTAAAAATTCTGCTGAAAGTAATGGCTGTGCTCCAAAATATCTGCAGCGTATTGATTGATCTCAGCAGTAATAGAAGGCTCTATGGGAACTTCTTTTTCACCAAAAGTCCATGCACCCAACTGATAATTAAAAATCTTAAAATTTAGTGGTTAAGTAGCTGGGTGTTTAAATTAGGGACTATAATAGACTGGTCTCTGAAAGCTAAATGTTATCCTTTCTATGTCTTTTAAAGATGTTTAAATGTACAGTATAATGGCTTTATTCAAAGTGGAAATTTTCAATTTAAATGTTATTTTGAGCTCTCTTCTTGGAAAGAGCTGCTTTTTTTTTTTTCTCCTTACTGTTTAGTCTGGGGTAACAGCTTGAAATATGTTCAGAGAAGGGCAATTGGATTGATATACATCGCAGCACTGCTACTTGATTTTTTTGGCAGGGATGTTGCAGATTAACATTTTGAAGTACAAAGGGATAAATTTACACATTTTTAGGACATAATCACCCATTAATAATTGCTGGTTTTCTCCATTTATCTTGTAACTTGCTTAAAAAGTCTGTAGTCCATTGCTATAATATTTGTCTAAAGATGCTCTTACTGATGAGACTATTCTAGGAAGGGAAGACTATGTACCCTGTAGTGTGTTTGATCAAAAGATGCTAATGTTTTATTCATACACATCCTTTCTTCTTGAGTTTTGTGTTCCATCTGTGCAAATAACCCTGTGAATTGGGAATAAAATGTACAAGTTTTGACTATAACTCGAGAGCACCTTCTGACTTAATTAATACAGCCGTAGCCTGCTGGGGATCGATCACCAAGCACCGAGTCCCTGAGAAGTTCCCTCGAGCCCCGAGCCAGCGGAGCATGATCCCCACCGCGCTCGGCTCAGCTCAGGCTGCGCCTAGACTAGGCTTGTCCCGCCGAAGCCCAGCTTGCCTGGGCAGAGCCTGACAGCCCTGGGGCAGGCTTTGGTCTGTCTTTGCGAGCAGCATCGCTGGCGAGGCGCGGAGCGGATGAGGGCTGTAGGGAAGAAACCTCCCTCGCGGAGACTTCCAGCTTGTTCTGCCGCTCAGCCTGACCCAACGCATGCCTGGGGTTCTCAGGCTGCTGATTCTTACCAGATGAGGACAACTGTCAAGAGTTTCTTGCCAATTAAGGGGGCATTTGAACACATTAATCAGTATCCTGAAGTGTCAGAGCTTTACAGAACTCCTTGAGCTGCCAAGATGATGTAATCCCACTTTTCCATTGCCATCTTAAAACCAACAGACGCTTTTAGGGGGTGAAAAGTTTAGTTTATTTGAATTTTCATTGTTCCCAATTAGTACATATACCATTAGCAATTGACAATTTGAAGTCGAGCATACACAATTGTAACTGGGACACAGCTCATTGCCTGGTGAAGGTCCAGGTCACAAAGACATTAAGTTTAAAGACTGCCAATTCTGTCTGATTTGGAGCAAGAGATTTGTAAACATTCAACCAGCTGCCAATGATTTTGAATGTACAGAAAGACATCTCAAAGAACCCTTTCAAGTTAAAGCACTTCTTTAAGTAATTACTGCATTTTTTAAAAGGACCTTGGATTCTGCTATCGCAGCTCAGTTGTTTCTATTACAGGGTCAACTGAACTGCAAGAGCACTGAAAGCCGTTGGCCACTGTCTATGAAGTTGACATTTTAGCAAATATTGGGACAAAATCACATTGTAGCATTGATTCATTTTAAAAATAGAAACACTGCCGTAATACTTCAATTTCATCAAGCACCCAAACTCAGCCACCTGCATTTCTTGTGAAACATCCGATTTGATTCCAAACACCTTACTGTGTTTTCATCATTTAATACTCACCTCTCCTATACATTCAGAACATGAGTATCTTAAAACTTCAGCAGCTTTTTTTTTTTGTTTTTTTATTTTATTAAAAAAATTCTAAGTAAGCCTCTTTTGCACTGACTTGACTTTAAAAATGAGCTCACAACCAAGTAAAACGTGCATATTCACTGCATGTTAAGTGCAAGGGCACAGCCACAAATGTCCTTTTTTTTTTTTCCTAAACAAAATATCTTTTTTTAAATCAGGCCATGTACTCAGCATGGTCATCTTACATTCAGCAGTTTTGTACTAAAAATACTTCTGTGCAGGAAAGCCCAGCGTAAATTTACATATGCTACAAAGTTTTACATTTATTTACATGGCTCTGTCTTCCCTATGAAAACATTAATACCTGCCACAAGCTACTGTAACTTAAAGCAATTATTACAGGGTAACCAATTTAAGACCAGCCTAAGTAACTACTACACCTTTTTCACGATTTAAAAAAAAAAAAACAAAAAAAACCCACAAAAACCCACAGATACAAAAATGTATTTCAGAACTCATCAGTGCAATCAGAATACAAAAGATTATTTTTAGAGTTTTTGGCAGTCACCCGGCAATGCAGCGTCACTACTTGGCACGGTCTGACTCGCTGAGATCCCAATGAAGCATTGCTAGAGCTGGGGAGAGACAATTACAGATTTGCCTGATGTGTTCTTCTGTCCTTGCCAGAACATGCACCAATACATTCCTAGATCTCAATTTTAGTCACAGGCTTGAAATGCTTGTCCACCAATTCAAGAGCACCAAATAAAGCTCACGGGTACGAGCAAGAGAACAATCTGTGTTTTGCCTCGCGTCTAGGTGGAGGTCTCCTCTGCTCGGCAGATCTGCTCTGCAGTTTTTATTAACTAGCAAATTTTACACAAGTCTGAAAAGCAGCAAAGTGTCTTTACTAAAGCTTTCAGTGCCTTTTTTTTTTTTTCCCCCCAGTTAATGCTGCATTAAGTTAGCTAAAAGCTGGTTTTCTAACACCATACCAAAAAGTAGTCACGATTCCAATTCTGGGAGACAGTCCCACTTACTCTTACAATAAATACAATAAATGGTGACTGTTCAGGATTTGATTAGATTGATCATAGAGAAAACACCTATTTCACAGTGCAGTGAACACAGCACGCAACTTTTGAGGTAAACCATTAGGGGAATGTAAGTTTCTACCCCCTTCTCTTCCAAGTGACTAACTGCATGCAGCAAGAACATCTAGTTCTGTACACCTGTGCATCTGGAGTTAGGAATAACAATTCTCAAATTTGAAACCCTGTAAATTTAAATAACTTTAAAAATAGGAAAAGTTATATCTCAAGCCTGGACTTTAAGTAATGTTTTAAGCTGAAATGTCATTATTTCTTTATCAGAAGGTTTAAAAGAAACAGGTACCCAGTGGCTTGGTGGCTTAGGAAGAACACTTGGTGAGGGTGGCTCACTAAATTTTGCTCCAGCATAGTTCTGATTGGTTTGAGGTGTGAAAAACAGGTTGCGATTCGATAAAGTAGGACTCCAATTTTGATTATTGGGGAAATGAACATTGTTCTTTCCCCCTTTTTGCATGGCCTGCCATGCACCAGATGACGAGTTGCATCCATGTCCTCTTTCTTTCTTCATATAGGTCTTCATCTGCGAATTCTGGTC